TTTAATTTAGAATGAGTTCTTTATTTCTTCCTAAATAATTGTGAGTATATGTTTATTTGTTTCGATGGTGTATTTGACTATGTTTTAATGTATCTATGCACAGATAGGATAGGCTGATGTTAGTGACGACTGTTAATAGTTGTTAGGAATCTGTTAGAGGCGTTACTTATATAACCGACTCTGTTCCCTATATAAGTTCAAGACCCATCATACAGTTTTCTTTTTCAGTTTTTGTTTAGTTTTTCAAACTCTCTTTTTCCCTCATTCTTAAACCCTAGATCCAAATTTATTAATCATGTTAGTATTAATGCCATTATGAGCCATGCTTCGCCTTTTTCTTGGACACGTACCATTATACCAGAGTTGTCATTATTACATTACATTTTATCAGAGTCGTGTTTTTCCTTGGAATGTCTTGTCCTCTAAGTAAATTGTTACGCACTTATATTGAACAATTTGATATAATGCTGTTAAAATTTTAGGTTAAACTATTGCATTTGTATATTTCTTTCTCCAAAGTATTTTATTTTATATTTTTGTTTATTATTGCACATGATGGCAATGGAACTGAAGAAAATTCGGTCATACTCTAGCACCTTGTTCTTACTGTCCATCTCTTCTTGTCATTGTATGGTACATCACAGAAAGTTTCCAAATATTTCAAGATGAAACCCATCATTCTCTAAAAGATCTTGAAGTTTTTCATAGATAAACTCGCTTCCAGTCAATTTTAGAGCAATTAGTTGCATTAATCAAACTCATGACTACCAATTCAAATGACAACAACAAACTGAACTGTTGGCACTAATGCTTCCCTTCTATCTCTATGATATTAATCAATTTTTTTCCCCATCTAATGGTATTTAACTTAAAAAATGCAATGTGATAGGTTTGGAATTTATAAAATTGTTTTGGAAATGTCATTTCTGTTGTAACTTTAAGGCTGTTTCTAGATGTAGAATAAAGTCTCACCGTCTAAATAATCATTCTTGGCATGACTTCTTGCATATCTAAATATCTAAGTGAGGTTTCTCAACCATGCTACATACGTACATTATGTTGTAGGATCAAGTTATGGTTTCTCCCCATCATAGAGGAAACTGCTTTTGTGAGGATAAATAATTTTCTTATGGGAAATAGCGCAAAAATGTATGAGTTACTCTACAGAAGGCATGAGTAGAACCTGGGACTATAGTACTAGTATTCATTGTGAATCTGTTTTTCAGATTCTAACTCAACATTGGGAGGTATTTCCTGGTTTAACCGTACTCCATATGATCAATACAAATGAGTTCTTGTGGAGCATATGGCTGAACACCACATCTCTTTCTCCTAATGTTTGTGCATGTGATATGCTAATACTGAGGCTATTAAATGTCTTTTTCTACATAACTTAGCATTGACTTAAGTTACATGGTGGAAACTCTTATACTTTTGTCCGGTTAGCCTGGAAGTTGTCAGGAGGACAACTAACTATTGTGACTTTGAGAAGAGTAAGGAGGGAAAAAGTTGGATCTAATACTCTATTTTCCTTCTTCATGCATTCTGCTAATGGCTTAATACTGGTTTTCATTGTAAATGAAAAACCATTGAGTTTTTAGTAAGGGTTAAAAAAAGCCTTAGACTTTACTAAATGTGTTAAAGCATCTCTCTGTTCACCAGACATTTGCTTTGGTGACAAAAAATGTGCTTTATTAAAACTTTTAGAAGCTGAATCCTCCAAAACCTGTTGGGAGCAGTCAAACCACTTATTTACCATCTTGTGTGACATGGCACAGTCTTTTAAACTTCCCAGTATCATCCCTTCTTGCAACACAAAGCACCTGACATCATTTTGTTTTTCCATTTTAGGTGGGATTTAAGAAGATTGCCCGCTCATCCTTTCTCTAATTTTGATTTGGATTGAATTTAACATATGATTTTATGGTTTTAATTGATCACATGAAACAACATTTTCTATTAATATTATTCATATATAGTGAACGTTCTAAGATGTCTGATAACACTCATTTACCATTGCCACTGTTAAAAAAATGAGCAAAAATCTTACCAGATTGACCCAGAAACAGTGTGTCGGAAGATATATATAGCCTCAGTGGTTTGCAAAGCTGTAACATTCCATTGGTGACGATCTTGTTTAATTGTGCAATCTAATGAAAGTTTTTACCTTCCAAAGAGAAACATAATTATGTAGACTTTGACTAGGTAGATTGTTCATAAGCAGAGTTATTAATAGAGGCCTTTCCCGGCGCGATCCCAAGCTGTCCGGCCGGAGCGGCCCCCATCTGCCCGCAAACAACGGAGCAATTAGCAGGCAGCAAGAGTGGCTGATTCCGGCGCGATAGCAGTTCTCGGGTAGCGCTCCGATCCCTGGGTGGAGCGGGTTACCCTGTTTTATTTTTTGTTAATTTTTTTAAAAGCAAAATTATGTTTTTGCCCTTAATATTTTAAACGTTAAAACAACGTTTCTCTCTATTTTTTCGTTTTCACGCTGCTTCAGACACTTCCTCTTCTTTCTGCCCTATCCACGTGAAACTTCCACTTCTCTCTTCCCTAATCGTTCAACTCCACTCCTCCCTCCGGCTCCTCGTCCGTTCGTCTGTCTCTCTCCGGCCGGCACCCCTCCTCCGTTCGTCTCTCTCTGGCCCCCATCTCTTCCACTCCTCCTCCTCTGTTTTTATATTGTAAGTTCTCTGTTTTTATGATTTATTCTTTTCTAAGTTCTACTTCTATGAGTTCTGTTTTGAGTTCTACTTCTACTTCTATGAGTGTTGTGATGGCCGTGTCTTCTACTAAAATAATATTTATTTGGAAGCTATGAGTTCTACTGAAATTATTGGATTTAGTCTTTAAGAAGACTAAGGACACAAACATCAATGATGTTGGTTAGAATTATTCATATAATAGTTCTAAGTTTGAATTTTAAGAAGTGATGTTTTGAATCTTATACTATGTTTTTAATCTTCTATAATATTTTGAATCTTGATTAAGCATTGCTCTTTGACATTAGATTTTATAAATCTTTTGAGTGTTCTGTTATTTGTTTAGTTGTATATTAAGTATATGACATATGTTTTATAGATTATTATATAATTATTAGTACAAAAACTTATCCAGCTTTCCGCTATCCCGCTATCCCATTTTTTGGGTCAGGCACTCCGCTACTAATAACTTTGTTCATAAGACAATGACACTATGGAAGACACAGACTTGCAGGAGATGCCAAGATGTAGTCGAAGATGCAAATTCTCTTACCAAGAGAAGTAAAGTGTGGATGACATTAGTGATTTCTTAATAAAAAAATAAATGTCTGATGCTTCTCTGTCATCAAGGGTCATAACTCAAATAAATTAAACTCTAACTACCAATTGGAAAAGAAAAGCACTTGATATATTGATTGGTCTGAGGAAACAAGTTTTGATGTTGAAAAAGGGAAAAAGGAAGCAGTACAACAGCAACCCAAAATTTCCCCCCAGCTAAGTTGGTTAAGGAATTACCAATGACATGATGTTTTGTCCAGAACTACGTCTTCAAAGAGGCTATTTAATTCTAGATCCTTTTTGATAGTCCCTCTTCGACGCTTTCTTGGTCTACCTCGACCGCTAAATATTAGGCTATCCTCTATATGATCAAGATCAACTCTTCTAGCTCGGGCTTATTTTGGTTTTCTAACATGTTTATTTGATCTTGTGTGTGATAAACATGGTTTCCTTCGTGGGTCACTCCAATTTTTGTAATGCATTCATTCTTTATCTTTTTTTCATATGTCCGCTCTACAATATTCTTCTCCTATACTCTTGTTTGACTTTTTATTACACCACATTCAGTACCATAAATAATCACTAGTCTAATGGCTGCAAAAAATTATCCTCCTTAGCTAAGATGCATCATTCTATTACAAATGATATCTGAAACATTTCTCCTCTCATCCAACCACCTGGAGTCCTCTGGTATACAATTTAACATTTCCCGTCTCTTCACGTTATATGGTAGATCCAAGATGGCTAACTTGTTTGACTTGTGAAACGATCTCCTTTTTTTTTTACCTTCAAGCCAATGCTAGCACGTGTCTTGTTGAATTTGCATGGCATGCAATAAATGCTTATTGTAGAATTTCATGTCTTGAACACTAGGAAAGGGTGATACAAAAGTATCTGGGTTCAGGATTTTTAAAACACCTGCCTTGGAATCGTTTTCCGTATGACCATGTCCAGTCCATGCTGGCTGTTGCTATTTGATGCATTTGGTTGGAGTGGGACACATAGTTTTAAGAAGCTTTGTTTGTTTCAGCAGTTAAATTTGGATAAATTTAGGTGATTAGCAGGTATTTGATGTAAAAAAGATGGTCTTTTTTAAGGGTTTCCTTAGAATATGCAGATTTAGTGGCTTTCATCTGTTTGCATCTTTTGTTATTTTCTTTGTTAATTTTCCATTTTCTCATTTTGTAGGGTCCCTTATCCTTCAATTAGGCGATTAACCATCAAGTTTTTGCTTTGATGCAAATGCGACTTATGACTTTGCTGAAAAAGCATCATGGTTTATGCAGGCAGCCTTTATTTGCTGTTTTTAAGGCCCAATTTGGAGGATTTGGATCATTTCTATAAATTTCCTGCCACTTCATCCAAATTAGGAACATTGATTAATGATTGATGTTGCAAATTTTGTACAAATGCTTAGTAGTTAGTGTTTATGATTGTCAGATGGCTGTCATTTCTCTTAAACACGAGTTAACTACTTGTTGCATTAGCACTAGCATAATTACAATATTCAAAGATGCTCACTACCCTTTGTATGCTCTTATTTATACATACTTTATAACAACCTCAACTAATTGACTGACTTCTATAACAACTCTAACTAGTTTAAGTACTTAAATATATTTTATTCTATATCCTAACAGCATACATTATGCGGAACTGATTTACTTGATGGCTTGACATAATTTCTGTTTTTTATAATTTTCAGCACCCTTTAAATCATCAAAGCAAGTTGTTCTCATAATGGATATAGATCTCAGGTTACCCTCTGGTGAACATGATAAAGAGGAAGAAGAAACAACTACACTTGATAACATGTTGGAAGGTGATGAAAAGTTGCACAATGGAGGTATAGACGGAAGGCATATTGTTGATGCTGGCATTGAAGTACATGCTCTAAATGGCGGAGATTTGAATTCCCCCACAGTCGATATGGTAATGTTTAAGGAAGATTCAAATCTTGAGCCACTTTCTGGCATGGAATTCGAGTCCCATGGGGAAGCATATTCTTTCTACCAAGAATATGCTCGGTCAATGGGATTCAACACTGCAATACAAAATAGTCGTCGTTCAAAAACGTCAAGAGAATTTATAGATGCAAAGTTTGCTTGTTCCAGATATGGAACAAAACGAGAGTATGACAAATCCTTCAACCGACCACGAGCACGACAGAACAAGCAAGAATCTGAAAATTCAACTGGTCGAAGATCTTGTTCTAAAACCGACTGTAAAGCAAGCATGCATGTAAAAAGAAGGTCAGATGGGAAATGGGTTATACATAGTTTTGTAAAGGAGCATAATCACGAGCTCTTACCAGCCCAGGCAGTAAGTGAACAAACACGAAGAATGTATGCTGTGATGGCCAGGCAATTTGCAGAATACAAAACTGTGGTTGGTATCAAGAATGAAAAGAGTCCGTTTGAAAAAGGACGGAATTTGGGCCTGGAGTTTGGGGAGGCGAAACTTATGCTTGATTTTTTTATTCAGATGCAAAATATGAATTCTAACTTCTTTTACGCAGTAGATCTCGGTGAGGATCAACGTCTGAAGAGTCTTTTATGGATTGATGCTAAAAGTAGGTATGACTACATCACTTTTTGTGATGTAGTGTCATTTGATACCACTTATGTTAGAAACAAATATAAGATGCCTCTTGTGCTTTTTGTTGGGGTGAATCAGCACTACCAATTTATATTACTTGGGTGTGCCTTGATATCAGATGAAAGTGCGACAACTTTTTCTTGGCTATTACGGACATGGCTAAAAGGTGTTGGTGGTCAAGTTCCAAAAGTGATAATTACTGACCATGACATGACTCTGAAGTCAGTTATTTCAGATATTTTTCCTAGTGCTTGCCATTGTGTTTGCTTATGGCATATAATGGGGAAGGTATCTGAAAATTTAGCTCCTGTAATTAAAAAACATGAGAATTTTATGGCAAAATTTGAAAAATGTGTATTTAGGTCACTGACCAGTGATGATTTTGACAATAGATGGGAGAAAATTTTGGATAGATTTGAGCTTCGACAAGATGAATGCATGCTGTCGTTGTATGAAGATCGCAGGTTATGGGCACCAACATTCATGAAAGATGTGTTCTTAGGGGCTATGTCTACTGTCCAACGATCTGAAAGTGTAAATTCATTCTTTGACAAATATGTTCACCGGAAGACCTATGTGCAAGATTTTGTTAAACAGTATGAATCCATCTTGCAAGACAGGTATGAAGAGGAAGCAAAAGCAGATTCTGATACTTGGAATAAAGTGGTAACATTAAAAACTCCTTCACCTTTAGAAAAGAGCGCCGCAGGGGTTTGCACCCATACAGTATTCAAGAAGATTCAAGCAGAGATTATTGGTGCAGTGGCTTGTCATCCTAAAGTTGACAGGCAGGATGAGACAACGGTTGTTCATAGGGTGCATGATATGGAAAGTAACAAAGACTTTTTTGTTGTGGTGAATGAAGGAAAGTTAGAGCTGTCTTGTATATGTCGGCTATTTGAATATAAAGGCTATCTTTGTCGACATGCATTGGTGGTTCTTCAATATTCTGGCCATTCAGTGTACCCAACTCAATATATTTTGAGCCGATGGGCAAAAGATGCAAAGACCAGGAATGTAATGGGCGAAGAATCTGAACTTATGCTGGCTAGGGTTCAACGATACAATGATTTATGTCTTCGATCACTAAAACTGAGTGAAGAGGGATCACTGTCTCAAGATAGTTATAGTATTGCATTCCACGCGCTAAATGAGGCACACAAAAGTTGTGTTAGTGTTAACAATTGTAATAAGAGTCCTACAGAAGCTGGTACATCAGGGGCTCACGGTCAGCTTTCCATTGAAGAAGACACCCAAAGTAGAAATATGGGAAAGTCAAACAAAAAGAAGAATCCAACCAAAAAGAAAAAGGTTTGTTGTTTCTATAAAGTTGACTTCCATACTTTCTCTCTCTGTAACTCTCTCATGACCTCATGACCTCCTTGTTGGATTGCAGGTGAACTCGGAAGCAGAGGTGATGACTGTCGGGGCACTAGACAACTTGCAACAAATGGTCTGTACTCCTACACTACTAGTTAACCTCTCAAAATGTGTTTGATGGTATTTTTGGGATAAAAAAACTTGTAGATTAAACACAGGCCTCATATTATGATTTACAATACTCCCTAAGTTCCTCTTTAGCTGTTGTTTTTAGGTTTTTTACACATACATGTTAAGAAAAGTAATAAATTGTTACTTTTGATAGAATTATGTGTTTAAATTATTTATCATCTCATTCCACATATCAAAAATCAATAATTAATGTTGCATTGCCTTTTGCAAATGCGAGTAATTAAAAACAATTAGTTTCTACAAAAGTGACGAGTAAAAAAGAATCAAGCATTAAGTAGGAATTTGAATGGGTGCAGTTTGATCCATGTAGCCAACACCACTTTGGAAAATAAGGCTTGGTTGTTGTTATTGTTAGTCACCCATCTATTTATTTAAAAGGGACTTCTTTTGCAGGACAAATTCAGCACCAGAGCTGCAGTAGCCCTTGAAGGTTATTATGGCACACAACAGAGTGTGCAGGGAATGGTATGATAATGATATGCTTAATCCTGTATTTCTAATGTATATTATTATGTTCAATGAATGAACTTCATAATTTTCATATCTGATTGTTTAGTTGAACTTAATGGGACCAACACGTGAAGATTACTATGGGAATCAACAGACTCTTCAAGGACTGGTGCGTAAAAGACTGATTATTTTTTCTCTAATATTTTCTGACTTGCAATAATACAGAAACTGTTTTGTATGCAGGGACCAATAAATTCCATACCAACCAGCCACGATGGTTATTATGGTGCACATCAAGGCATGCCCGGTTTGGTATGGTTCAGTAATACTAAAGATTTTCTATCCCTTGTAATGTTTGATGAATGCTTATACAGTCAAAACTTGCAGGCACAACTGGATTTTTTGCGAACTGGTTTCACATATAGTATGAGGGTTAGTATGGCTTTCAAGGAAATCACCATTTTAGTCTATGAAATTGTTGGGGTTGAGCAATATAGTCATCGAAATAAACAAAACTCTAAAATAATTTCTAAAAATTAACACCGCTGATCACATTAGTCTTTTTGGTCTCTGAAATTTGTTCCAAAAGATTTGTGTCCGAGATGTTTCAATTCAAGGACCATCTCGAATTATTGTTGATTTCACAGACAAATTTGCTTGGTCTCTACAATCTCATAAGCTAAATCGGTGATTCACTCATTACTAACTTTTTCTTCTTCTGAAAGATCATTTATGTAGTAATGTGGCTTCTTCATTGTGGCAGGATGATCCTAATGTGAGAGCAGCACAGTTACACGAGGATCCATCAAGACACTCGTGAATGCTCATCTGGTGTTGAGAATGGAATGCTCCAAAGCCTCAACTGAGATTATATTGGAAAATCTCCCCGTTCAGTATTTGTATAATATAATGATTTTATATTAATAAATATAGGATAAATTCTGCTAACTTGTATTATAATGTTTAATATTTATAGTGTTATTAATATAGGTGGGGTAAGGCTTCAGAGTTCAACCTCAAGTAGAGATTGTTGTATTATTATGTAAAATCATTATTCTTTAGGTTACTTGGGGGTAATTGTAAGTATACAATGTTTATGTTAGTGATGTGGGTATTTGCATGCTTTTATGTGCAAAGGATAGTGAAACCATCTCCTTCATCTATAATTTTATTTCTCCTTTAAAAAAAAAAATTATTTCTCCCTTAATTTTGTTGATGAGTTTCTTTTTGCTGTTGTATTAATAATTATTTATTGTATTTAAGGTTTTACATCCAATAAAAATATATCATTATGTTATATCATGTAAGTGATTTAAAATTTTTAGTCTGATTTGACTGAATACATGGTTGTAATTCATCGATAGTGTAAAATTCATTTACACTGTTATGCATAATCCCTTTTTGTTATACTTATTTTTCAATTTTTAATTGCTCACTTGTAGAAATCGTCGAGTTCTCACTTTAAGGAAAAGCAACACCTTCTCTTGTCGCATAATGTTTCCTTTTCTTTATCTTGGACTCTATGTAGCTTCAGCAAAACAAAATGGGACAATACGGGCTCGCGTGTGTGTCGTGGATGTGTGTTGGTTATTGGTAGTGGGATATTGGCATCAACAATTTAGAGTGTTACTGTTGTGGTCTTGCTTCGGGCTAGACAACCAGATTCCTTTGTGTGGCCAAGTGGAAATTTCAACTATTTTACTATTAAGTCTTGCTATTCAGTTCTGCTGCAAGGAGGTGGACAAGAGATAATGGGAAGTAATATCAAAACAGCTTTGTACATCTTCTGGCAATTTATAATTCCTCTGAAAGTCAAGATTTTTGAGTGGAGATTGTTATTAGATAGACTGACTACTCGAGCGAATCTTACGAAGAGAGGTGTTATATCTAATATTCATAACATAGTATGTATATTTTGTTTTAATGCTGAGGAAGAAATTGATCACATGTTCTTCTGTTACCCGCATATCTGTTTGGTGTGGAAGAAATTGAGCAGTTACAAAAAAGTAATTGTTGTGATCATTTGTTAGGTTGGTTTGTAAAACTCATTGGAAAGGCTTCTAATTCATCTGCTGTCTGATCTAGTTTGCCACATGTTAATGTATTTGGTGGACTAGGAACCAAATTATTTTTAATGATGTTGTTGGCAACTCTGATGATATTTTTCAAAGAATTATTAGTTTTTTTTGGTGCTGGTTGACAACTTGACATATCAGTATTGTTGTAGGTTTTGTTATGTTGTAAGTTGTATGTTGGATTGAGATACCCCTAATATTCCTCTTGAATATACATTTGCCTATAAAAAAAATTGCTAGATTTAGATGCGCATAATTGTAACTTTAAAAATGATCATACAAACTCAAATAAAAATAATTTTTAAATTAAAATAAATTAAGTATTATGTTGATAGTGATAAGTGACACAAACCATTTTATTTAACTTCATAGATTAAGATTATACTTTAACAAAAATTTAAATTTTTTTAAAAGAGATAGTAGTAGCCATATTGTGGTATATAAAAGATGTACTTTTTAACAAAAAAAAAAAGAAAAAAGGTGTAAGGTGTTAGACATAGAGAAGATAGTAGCAGCAATGTTCTGCGATGACATTCAAATGCATGTACAATAGTTTAGTTTAGGGTGTTAGATCTAAAGAAGAGAGACACTACATAAAAAGTAAAGGTATAATATAACATAAAAGAATATATACATGGAACACTCAATCTCTATTTTATATCTGCAGAAAAAAAATTGATATCCGTCATTGGTAATTAAACTAAAATATCAATATTTCAATATTGAATCATGTTGCACATGCCTTGTGCCATCTACACATCAACCGAAAGTTTTTAATATCAAATATGAGATATAGTGAAATATCATCTTTTTGCATTATGATACTAATAAGTAACACTATAACATACTCTCCAATTATAAATAACATAATATAAATAACATAATTTAAGAAAAGAAATATATCATTTTTATATAAAACATTATGAAAGAAAATTTAAATTGAAGTTTTAAAAACATAGTTTGAAATGTTCATAGAAGAATTATATCAATCAAGTAGAAGTTCATAGAAGAATTATATCAATTAAGTAGAAGACACAAGAGTAAGAAGATAAAAGCTAATGTACAAAAAGGATATCATTTTGCTTTAGTTTTTAATATCTACTAAATCTAGTGAATTTTGTTTCTTTTATGTATCCTTAGCCATTTAACTTTTTTATCGCAAAATGTAATTGTCGTACCTCGACGAAAACTATCTAGGTTGTCTAAGTGTGAATGAGTGTCGTAATCTAGGGGTTATTTGCTATTGAGAAATAGTTAATTTTTTATTAGGGTGTTTGCCAAAACTTCACAATCTCGTGCCTACATATTCTCATAGTGCAATAAGAAAGTCAGAGAATTTGTAGTTCGGGGTAGAAAATAAGTGTGCTGATTGATTTTACCTTGAAAAAGGGTTTGAAAGATCGCACGGCGGCGAGGAAATGTTTGACGTGTTGATGTTATTTTTAGATTTTTGAAAATAAGGTATTTTTGATTCGAATTACACTAAAGACTATGGGTAGAGACGAATATTTTGAACTACCAAGCCAAGCGTCTGGTGTCTAAAATACTCAGAGTGAGGGCCGAAAAGCTCAATTCTCACTCCTTCTCCACCACTTAAGGCTCGTGGCACGCAATTCTAATCGTATTTTATTGTATTTTTGAGTTTGTTTGAGAAAATTCCGCTTGACATTGGATCAAAGATTTTATTAGGAAAATACCACTTGACGTTGGATTAATGGTTTGGGGAAGTGGTGAGGCCGATCTTAGTTCATAAGGATATCTAACAAACGAATCCGTAACCAAAGAAAAGCAGAAAAGTAAAGAAAGTACATCCAAAAAGGGAGAAGGGTACATGAAAAATACAAGGAAAAGTATGCAAGAAATAAATAGTCTCGTTGTCAGGTAGCCCAAGAAAAAGCCGTGTCTGTGCAAAGTGTCCTAGGATATGAAATGGAAATAAGAATCCAAGTTCGAGTTTTCTTTTGCTAAGGTTAAGTACAAGGTCCAAAATGTCTAGAACACTCAAAGTCATGCAAAGGTCAATCACACAGTCCATAGTCCATCTCACAGATGAGAAGTTACATCTTTTTGGTCTTTTCATTTCATCATGTTTTTGTGTTTTTTATACGATGAAGAATAAAAATCAAAGAAGAAGAAATTGACATAAAGTAAAGTGAATGATAAAGAGCGGTAAAGTAAATGGTTGAAACTAAATGGTAAGAACTAAATTGCGAGAAAATAAAGTGCAAGAAAGTAAAAGTTAGAAGTTAATAGTTAATGGTTAGTGATCGAATGATCGATTTATCATATTCGGAAAATTTAGCACTATGTTAAAAAATCGTAAGTGAACTTATGTAGAAGCCACACCTATCTGAGACTGGTCAATAAGAATCTATGCGTTCAAACATGTTAGAGAAATAACACAAAGTTATTCTCCTAAAACATACAACACAATGAGAAAATAGACGAAGAAGGAGAAATCAGAAAGCAAGCTCGATTCAACATAATAGGCTCATCTATCATCAAGAGATCCAAATAATGATCAACGAAGGACAACTTATCAATACCTTAAAGTGTCAAGAATGTCCAATGATCATTCATCAACATGTTTAAAGTATTGAAGATTCAATCAACATAGAGATTATTACTCAATGATGTCTAAGATTTCATCAACCCCAAATAATTACCAAAATAAAAATCAAAAGTAAGCAAAAATGAACAATAATAATAAAAATGATCTAATAGTGAAGTTAAAGTACAAACTAAAATATGCTACAATCCCAAATCCCACTCCTCACCGCAATCCAAATCCAAAACCACAAGGAGATTAGGTTTTAGAATCTGCAAATGGAAGTACCTTTGAAGAATACTGCGGTGGTGGAGGAGAACTGAAGAAGATTCTCAGGTACGTTGCTTTGATTTTGTTCGTTGTGAATTGTGCTTGTGTTGTCGTGTTGTTCTTGGCTATGAGACAAATGAAGAGTGATTAATTTGTTGTTGAATCTTGTTCGTTGCATTTGTGGTTTTTGTTGGCTGAATTGAAGTTGGAGATAGTTATGTATAAAGTTGCAGTGGAGTGTGTCGTGTATTGCTTGCGTTGAAGGTGATTTGAAGATGAGAAAATTTTTTGGTGTTGTGCAAAAGTGAAGATTGAAATTTATTCATCGTTGTCTAATATAATTAGATTAAAAATTTTAATAAAATATATTAAGAGGGGAAATGATAATTATTAACAATTCCTAGATAAATTAAAATTTATTCAGTGGGTGTGATTAAAACTGCATTAAAAACTAATAGATAGAATATTTAGAATCCAATACATTAAAAAAAAAGTGAGTTCATTATTATGTCATTTAGATTGTCAACTTTGTCAGAAAATCTTATAAAAGATAAAAAAATGCGAAATGGAATGTGATCTGACCTGACCAGAAGGGGATCACTGACTGGTCGCGCCCTGCTGGATTTATGCATGTTCAACGGTGTATAGAAGGAGATGAGGGGTGTACCTGCAAGACACTCCGATGCCAAAGTAAGAAGTTGGATAGAGTGATCACAAGTACAGAAAAGGGTAAGAAGAGAATTGAATACCTGACCCTCTTGTGAAAGAGGGTATTTATAGAGAGACCCCAGCACAGGACCAACGGTCACTTGAGTTGGGCTGGCTGGCCAGGCCCAATCCAAGTGACTGCTAGGGCTTACGTGGCGTAGTGAAGACCAGAACGTGGTCTTCGCCCTAGTTCAATTGTCCCGTGATCTCCGGAAAGTG